GTAATTGTTGACTTTTGGTGAATAGTGTTAACTTTTTAACTTTTTGAGTAACTTTTTGACTTTTTGACTTTTTTGGAAGTACCCAAACTTGGCCTTAGAACCTAATCTTAATAACTTGGGCCAATGTTCAAATGCAGCCCATAGCGAGTCCACTCAAGTATTTTTCTTTTTCTTTTTTCTTTTTTTCCCTCCTTTTGAACTACTAAGACAAGGACTTTTCCACGTGGTAATGCCAAAAAAATAAAAATAAATAAATAAATAAATAAATATAATGAATTAGTATACAAGACTTCAGCTAAAACAAATAAAATAAAAACCTACTTGGTCATGAAATTGACGAGCATATCTAGTTTTCTAGTATAAGATATGCATACAATACATACATGTATATAAGTAAACAAATATATATTATCTACATTTGGAAATTGGGATAGGGTTGATTATACTTTTCACTCCTAAAAAGAATAGATAATAATAAAATTAACAACAACAAATCTAAACATCGAAAAATAGTGAACTTTATACCATCACTTGATATATTATACACCATCATTGTGAGTATGGGGGTGAAAAATAAATTATTTTGGTGTTGCATATAGAGTTATTGAAGAAAGGCTAAATTGTAAAATGTTTCAAAAAGGCTAAACTGTAAAATGTATAAGTTCAGGAGTTTTTAAATGCACCCATTAAATTTCTAGAAGTATTATGAAAAATGCTTGGGAGCACTAATTAGTGCTCCCACTAATTATGTGGCAGTGGGTTCCGTCATTAATGATGTGATGTTTTGGTCTTGGAGTTATGTTTTTTTTTTTTTTTTACTTTTTTAATGCATTAGTGCTATTAATGATAGTGTTTTTAGTGGGATGAATCATTGTTGAAGTATTATAATGCAAAGTCTCCCAGAAGTATTATAATGCATATAAATATAATAGGTGCAGTGAGGCATTTAGAAGCTCTTGTATACCCTTGGGCAGAGTGTGAACTAGGAAGTGTCTATATGCTATGTATAGGTTCATAAATAAGTATGATATGATTCCTTATTGTCATAGTCAAGTCATTGTCTAACTTTTATCCATGGTGCTCATGAATAATGGGCCTCAATCAGCGAGAGAGAGAGAGAGAGAGAGAGAGAGAGTGAGTGATGGGTCTCCCTCATTAAAATGTCCACAAAATCAACTTCCAAAGGTATTTTAGGTAAAGCTATCAAAATGAGAACTTTCTACAGCACTGAGCCCCAAAAAAAGGTTTCCATTAACAACCACTCACTTGGGTTATCCATGGTTCTCTCTATCCAAAACCTAATAATCTGGATCTTGAATTGATAGAAAGAAAAATATGAGAAATGAAATAAGTAAATTTAGCTCTTTTAAAAATCTTTTCTCTAGACATTTTCTTTCTCTTCACAAATCTATGATCTAAATACAGTCAAAAAATCCAACAAGAATCTATCCCTTACGGAAAATCGAACTATGAAGCATCACAGCATAAGGATGTGCCATGCATGAAAAAAACAAACACTTTCAGAAATATGTAAATGCTGATGAATCACTATGTAAAATGTTTAATTCTGCAGTTTATGTTAATCTGATTTGAGTTACTATCTGATCAATCATATCAACCAACAAGCCACACGGCAATAGTTCCATCAAGGATAATAGATTTTAGCTCCACAAATAGAACCCTGAAAGAAATGAAGACATTAGATCTGAGTAAGCCTTGCACACATTAATAGGCACCAGAAAAGAAGGAAAAAGGAAGTTTTAAGTCATTTATTAAATTAAAAGGTAGCATATAAAGAAACAAGTAGTCTAGAAGATATGATCTTACTCTCTTATTGTCTTGTTTCCTAAATCAATTATTTTGGGTCATTTTTTACAATTATAAGTCACTACTTATTTGAGTTTTCCATTGAAATGACCTTCTTTGAGAAAGCCATGTTCAATACAATGGAATGGAGTTTTCCACAGGCATGCCTAAAGACACCATATAATTGCAAAATTGAAAATAAAACTTTTTTTGAGCAGAACGGTGAGTGTCTTTTTTTCTACCAAAAAAATTACAACACCAGTTTTAATATATATATATATATATACATTTTTGGGCAAATTACATATACTTCCCTCGAGATTTAGCTAAATTACAGATACCTCATGAGGTTGCGAAAATTAAAAATACCTCCCTGAGGTTTATATTTTCATCACAATTTGCCCCCTGATTTTTTATGCAAATAGTACATTTAGGGGGTATCTGTAATTTCTCAAACCTCAGGGGGTATCTGTAATTTTGCTAAACCTCGATGGAGTATATGTAATTTGTCCTACATTTTTCCAGCAGAATAGTTAGTGTATCTTTTTTTCAATACTGTGCAACGGATAGGATTCACCAACTGTGAGATTATTTTAAGATTAGTGGACAGCATAATACTCCTATCTAGATATTGATCTGCATACCATGATTCTATCAGATTAACTAACTTGAAAAAGATTATTCTTCTTGTGACTAAATCTTCAGCTAAGCAGCCTGCATGATTATTCTATCAAATTAACTAACAACAGAAAAAATATTATTCATCTTATAATTAAATCTCCAGCTAAGCAACTTTCACATATTTGTTTGGTTTTTGGATATTTGCTCAATAAGAATCATCGTAACAGTGATAATACTGGTAGTGTTATCTAAAGCAAAGTATATATAATTAAACACTTTGATTCAGTTTCGCGGGGGTCCAGGGGGCAGCGCCCCTTGGCGGGTCTGGGGTAGCGCCATGGCAGGGTTGAGGGGCAGCGCCCGCGAAGCAAGAAACAAAATGTAAAAATACATTCGAAGTTGTTTGTCCGCTCGAGCGGACATTCCTTCGCTCGAGCGGAGAATCCTTGGCTCCATAAGTTTGATCGCCTGCAAAAATACTGAGAGATGTTTTTTCCTGCTTGAGCGGAATTTCCTGCGTTCGAACGTCGGTCCGCTCGAGCGGCCATTCTTGCGCTCGAGCGGAGATCGCGGAATAGATTGCTATAAATATGTGTTTCAGTCAGATTTTAGGATTACACTTCCAGATCTTCTTTTTGGATATTAGGGTTTATATCTGGAGCTATTTTGCTAGTTTTCTTCGATATTTAATTGAGTATTCAACTCATGGTTTTAAAAGTATATATCAAAGGATTGTTTGTTTATTCTATACAAAAGAGAGAGTTGTTCTTCGGTGGATTCTGAAGAATTCGAGCCTGAAACTTTGGTGGATTCTGGAGTACTCATCGTCGTGATTCGACATCGGCGTTGTGGATTTAACGTTGGGCAAGACAATTTCAAGGTGAAGACAGGGCTGGAAGAGGCATACAGGGGTTGGTTCAATTTGGGTATAGATGTGCTAGGTAATTGACAGTATACCTGTGTAATTCATTCATATCTTTTTAGTGGATTGTTTTGTGGCATTTGCCCGTGATTTTTTTATTATAATTAGATGCGCTCCAATTGTGGTTTTTCTACGTAAAATCGTTGTGTTGATTTGTCTTTAATTGTTTGATTGGAATTGCTATTTACTGATTAAAATTGATACATAATCACAAATCAATATTTAGGGAATTTCTAAATTTATCAATTATATTAAAAGATGACATATAAAGAAACAAGTAGTCTAGAAGATATGATCTTACTCTCTTATTGTCTTGTTTCCTAAATCAATTATTTTGGGTCATTTTTTACAATTATAAGTCACTACTTATTTGAGTTTTCCGTTGAAATGACCTTTGAGAAAGCCATGTTCAATACAATGGAATGGAGTTTTCCACAGGCATGCCTAAAGACACCATATAATTGCAAAATTGAAAATAAAACTTTTTTTGAGCAGAACGGTGAGTGTCTTTTTTTCTACCAAAAAAATTACAACACCAGTTTTAATATATATATATATATATACATTTTTGGGCAAATTACATATACTTCCCTCGAGATTTAGCTAAATTACAGATACCTCATGAGGTTGCGAAAATTAAAAATACCTCCCTGAGGTTTATATTTTCATCACAATTTGCCCCCTGATTTTTTATGCAAATAGTACATTTAGGGGGTATCTGTAATTTCTCAAACCTCAGGGGGTATCTGTAATTTTGCTAAACCTCGATGGAGTATATGTAATTTGTCCTACATTTTTCCAGCAGAATAGTTAGTGTATCTTTTTTTCAATACTGTGCAACGGATAGGATTCACCAACTGTGAGATTATTTTAAGATTAGTGGACAGCATAATACTCCTATCTAGATATTGATCTGCATACAATGATTCTATCAGATTAACTAACTTGAAAAAGATTATTCTTCTTGTGACTAAATCTTCAGCTAAGCAGCCTGCATGATTATTCTATCAAATTAACTAACAATAGAAAAAATATTATTCTTCTTGTAATTAAATCTCCAGCTAAGCAACTTTCACATATTTGTTTGGTTTTTGGATATTTGCTCAATAAGAATCATCGTAACAGTGATAATACTGGTAGTGTTATCTAAAGCAAAGTATATATAATTAAACACTTTGATTCAGTTTCTTCTTGTATTTGTAATAGATTATTTACCATGTTTGCTATAAGTGATGTTTGCTATAAATGATTGGAACCAACAAGATTATGCTTTACCATAATAAAGATTATTAAGAGCTTTATGAATTTTCTATTTCACATTATGGTGTTTCCTAATCTTCTTCAAATAATTGGAATCATGTGGATGCTAATGGAGCTCAGTGCAATTGAGTTAATACGCTTGTTTTGCATATAATCCCATCAACATCATTTTAATGTTTCTGTTTTGTTAAAAATTTATACAACCTCCCAAATTGAACCAAACTCATAGTAAACTCTAGTTTGACATGTTACATGCAGTGTGTTCCAAAATTTTATTTTCTCAACCAGTAGATAACATGATCCTAATTGTTTCAGACTCAAAATCCTTCAGCAGTTTTCATCAAATTTTGTTACTTTTGGCAGTCGGCATTTTCACAAATCTTGAACATAATTGGCATCTTTAGATTGTACAAAGACTAATATTCCCAAATAATTTGTCACCACAGGTCCACAATCTCCAATAATGAACTCTAAAAAGGAAAAAAATAAAATAAAAAGTTCTACACATAAAGATACAGAGGATACATCTCTTTCGGCACAAAATTGCATCCAGCACTCCTCCCAAAATCCAAATCATAAACATGAAACTAATTGCCTTCAAGTAGATTCTAGGGATCAAAACCTAAGTTTTATGTTCTTAAAGCTTCATTTCAAAGTCTAATGGTCTGAACAGAAGGGAAAAAACAGCACAACCAGCCATCACATGCAAGGTTGTAAAGGTTAAACAAATTATCATCACGAAAACTCACAACTTTGTGGCTACCCCAAGTCAGAAAACAAGAACCCAAAATCGAGTATCTTGAAGGCACTACATCTCACTTCCCATGACCACAAAAATAGGTTTCTGTTTTAACTTTTTGCTGGTCACCCTTTAGCACTTATTGTAACTTAAAGGACAACTGCCACATTTCAAAAACTTCTTCTCAAGCTTCCCGTTAGAAACAAGAGGACGCATCAGTAATTTATGCTGAATCAACCCTTTTAACCTGCTTCTGAGCCAAATATCTTTCTCTCCTTTTTTTCTACAAAAGACAAATAGGAGAAAAACTTGATATATAGCAAGGTATAATAAGCAATTTGCTAAAGTAGAACCAAGTAAACAGATAATAAAAGAAAAAAAATTGTTTAGACAACGTACCCATTCATCTATAACAAGTCCTTCCCCTACAATAGGTGGGCCTTTATGTTCTGGAGGCTTTTTTCGTGCCTCAATAGCAGCCTCAGCCTCAGCCAATTGTCGATTAAGTTTATGCAGTGCCTTAATAGAAATGCACCACAAATAAAACGAACAAAACGACAATAAATAAATAAATAAATAGATGTCATAAATGAGTAGAGCAGAAAGGGGCAAACCATATTAATGCCAATTTAATCCTACTTACTGGACAAGGATGTTTGGGGTCAAGGAAAACAACTCGCAAAATCTTCTCAACTGCCACTTGATCCCTTTGCTCATCAAACTGTGTAAAATTGTCAAATAACAAAATTTGTTAACACTGATGTAAAAAGAATGATATATTCTCCACCATACACAACAAAGTTTACATTTTGAATAGAAATGAGAATTCTACAGTTCTTCCAGATATAAGATTGCAATGTGGCAATAAAATTACTTCCATAGCAGTAAGCATGTTTGAAGCTAACTTTCCACATCACTGGTTTTGAATCATTACTTATTTTCACTAATAAACTGCTAAAAACTGGTGAAGTTTTATTACATAAATATCACTTGAAAACTTCCTAACTAATGATTTAATAGAATAAAATTTGAACTTTAATCAATCATGTTTGGTAGAAGAGCAGAAGTAGATAATAGAGGAATTGTAAAATGATAGGGTAGAAGTTTGAAGTATCATTAGTGTTAGAATAATAGAGAGAGAAAATAATATGTATCGTATTATATTCAATCAATCAATACAATATGAGAAGCATGTATATATAGGCCAAGAAATAACCTAAGTGTACAAGAAACCTAGGTGTATAAGAATACAAGAATCCTAATAGAAATAGATAACAGCTAACACCCACCCCTCAAGCTCAAGGTGGTAAGGCAGATATCAACTTGAGCTTGGTGAGGAGATTAGAGAAGCGTCTTGGAAGATGAGCTTTGGTGAAGAGATCGGCGGCCTAATCAATAGAGGTAACAAAGAGAAGACGAACAGTGCCCCTAGTAACATGCTAGCTTATGAAGTGGCAATTTATCTCAATGTACTTGGTGCGATCATGGAAGACATCGTTATGTGCAATCTGAATAGCACTTTGGTTGTCACAATAAAGATTGGTGGCAGCAAAATGAGAAACTCCCATGTCAGAAAGAAGCCAACGAAGCCACACAAGTTCCTGAGTAGTGTCAGCAAGAGCATGATACTCAGCCTTCGTACTAGAATGAGCAACAAGAGTTTGCTTCTTGCTACGCTAGGGAATGAGAGAGTTGCCCAAGAAGAAGCAGAACTCAGTAGTGGAACGACGGTTAGCAGTATCCCTTGCCCAATCGGCATTAGAAAAGGCATGGAGTTGTAGAGAAGACTGAGCGGAGTAGTGAAGACCATGAAACAGAGTGCCTTTGAGATGGCACAAAATACGAATTAGAGCATTACAATGCGGAGAGTGGGGGACAACCATGAATTGACTGACAATGTGAATAGCATAAGCAATATCTGGACGAGTAATTCTGAGATAGACAAGACTGCCAACTAGTTGACGATATAAAGTGGCATCAGACAATAGGGAACCTTTAAGAGGTGTAAGACGAGTCTGAGGATCAATGGGAGTAGTGGCAGTCTTGCAATCGGTAAGGCCAGCATGAGCCAAGAGATACTTGGCCGGAGTAAGAAAGTAACCAGATGAATCTTAGGAAATTTCCAAGCCAAGGAAGTAGCTAAGTAAACCCAAATCTTTCATCTCAAACTGGCGACAGAGAAACCGTTGGAGACTAGAAATACCTGCGGGATCATCTCTAGTGATAATCATATCATCCACATAGAGGAGAAGGAGAATAGTTCCACGCTTCATCTTATGTATAAACACGGCAGAATCATGGGCATTGGAGGAAAAGCCAAAGTCACGAATGGTAGAGCTGAACTTGGCAAACCAGGCATGCAGAGCTTGTTTCAAACCATACAAGGCAAGACAAAGTTTGCAGACTTTGTTTGATGGAACAGAAGAACCAGGAGGAGGTTGCATATAAACCTCCTCAGTGAGATCACCATTGAGGAATGCATTCTTGACATCCATCTGATAAAGACTCCAGTGGTAAGCAATAACCACTACAAATAAGCTGCGAACGGAAGTAAGACGAGCAATAGAAGCAAATGTTTCTTCATAGTCAATTCCATACTCTTGAGTAAATCCTCGGGCGACAAGGCGAGCTTTGTAATGCTCAATGGTACGGTCAAAATGAGTTTTGAGCTTGTAAACCCATTTGCAACTAACAGTACTCTTCCTAGGAGAAAGATCAACCATATCCCAAGTATGAGTTTTATCGAAAGCCTGCAGTTCATTAGTCATAGCTTGTTGCTAAAGAGGGTTAGAACAAGCTTCTTGATAGGAAGTAGGTTTATGAGAGGAAAAGGCAGTGGAACCAACAATATAATCACGGAGAAGAACAGAAGGTTGCCTTGACGCTCTGGTGGAGGAGGAACCTCAATAAGAGATGAGAAGGTGTAGGCCATTAGCAGACACAGGATCCTCTGGATGGACAATAGGCGTAGGCGGCTATGGAATCATGGAGTCAGAATTTGCATCAAAGTCATTAGAAAATAGGTCTATAAAGAGATTAATAAAGATCGGTGAGTGGGTGGACTGTGGTAGTTGAAATTTGGAAAGATTTGAGAACATTTTGTGTTTCCAGAAGACCATATGACGAGAAATACAAAGTTGCTTGGAGATAGAATCCCAACAACGATACCCTTTATGTTATATACCATATCCTAGAAAACAGCAAAGACGAGAGCGAGGCTCTAGTTTAGTGTGTTCATGAGACTGAAGTAGAACAAAACAAGCAGAACCAAAAACTTTAAGAGTGGTGTAGTCAGGAGGAGAACCACACAAGCACTCACATGGGGAAGTATTAGCTATAACAGGTGTAGGTACACGATTTATGGTGTGGATGGCAGTGAGGGCAGTTTCCCCCCAAAATTGTTTGAGACAAGAAGATGAGATGAGAATAGACCAAGTAGTGTCTAGAATATGACGGTGCTTCCTTTCGGCCTGTCCATTTTGTTGGGACGTGCCAGCATAAGATCGATGAGATAGTATACCATTAGCCCGAAGAAAATAAAGAAATTCAGAATCCAAGTACTCTTTAGCATTATCAAAACGAAAGATTTTAATAGTACGAGAAAGCTGAGTGCGGACCTTGACAGAGAAATCATAATAAATCAGTTTAAGTTCAGATCGATTTTTGAGAAGAAAAAACCTAGTATAACAAGAAAAATCATGAACAAAATATCTTGACCTTCCCATGGTCGGTGTGGGGGAAGGTCCCTAAATATCTGAATGCATAAGATCAAAAGGAACAGTAGACATAGAAGTACTATTATTAAAAGATAAAACATGTTGTTTAGTATTTTAACAAGACAAATAATCGACATCTTCAAGACGGATACAACCTAATTGACTATTAGAAACTAAAGTTTTCAAACGACTAAAAGAGACAATGCGAAAAGAAGACATGGCAGAATTTGATGCAGCAGAGGAAGCAATGGAAGCAACAGTAGATAATGTGTGGGGAGCAACAACAAATGATTTGTGGGGAATGCGAAGATGGGTAAGCTCGAACAAACGTCCATGCTTATGGTCTATCCCAAGGATTTGCCTCATCTGAGGGTCCTGCACCAAACAACCATTAGCAAAAAATGTAATGGTTAAACCAAGTTTACATGACTGACCAACAAAGATAAGGTTCAATTGAAGAGCAAGAATGTGATAAGCATAAGAAAGAGACACAGTGGAAGCAAAAATTTGACCAACGTGACGAACAGTCATACGAGAACCATCAATAGTGTGTATGATGGGAACAGAAGATGATGGTGATATAGAAGAAAAAATAGTGGAGTTAGAAGTTATATGATTACAACATGCGGAATCGAAATACCATAGAGAATTACCTGAAGTCACTAAAAGAGCAATAGAGGGACGAGTACCGAATTTGGCAAGCACCTGTTGGATGATGGACTCAACATCATCCATAGAGAAGAAATCAGTAGTGGAATTAGTGGAGTGATGAGTAGAAGAACACTTAGAGGCAACAACAGCAGAGCAAGAACCTTGGCCAGATTTGAGAATACCCTTTCCTGCATGAAGTATTGGAGGGGGCTCGAGGACAATTGCGTTGGAGATGACCAGGAGCAATCTTGTGGCAAGTAAAGCATTCACAAACCTAGCACTGAACAAAATAATGAGTGACTGGCAGGCCATGGTTATGACAATACTAGCATGAGCTAGAGGGTTGTGAATATGAGGAACTCTGTGATGATGGTGTAGCAAGAACAGAATTCATATTCTGAGATTTCAGAGTCCCAAAACGAGTCTTCTCTGATAATAGTTCAGTAATGGCTTGCTCTAAAGTGGGCAAGGCAAAACGATGGAGCAATGAAGCACGCACGGGCTTAAAAGTGCTATGAAGAGCCATAAGGAACTGTAATAGGCGCTGATAAACAGTTGTGCATCTCAGAATATGCCCATGTAGGCTCAGAAAGAGCTAGCTGGTCCCAAATAGACGACATCTGGGATAAGAATTCATTGATAGACTGACTGGGTGCTTAGCACATGTGATGAAGAGTCTGCAACAGTTGATATTGATGAACATAGCCAGTGGTCTGATAACGGTCCCTTAAGAAATCCTAAATTGCTTTGGCAAGGGAAGCAATTTGATCATTATCCTGGAATCGGTATGGAGGGAACTGATGTAGCTCGGAACCATGTGATAATTTGATAATTCTTACTTTTCTATTCGTCAAGACGGTCATCGAATGTAGAGTCAGTCTTATCCTCTTTCTAAGTGGGTTTGGGAAGAGCACTAATAATGATCCGCCAAAGTCGTTTCCCTTTGATGAAGATAGAGAGAGCTTGGGCCCAACTAACATAATTTGACCCATCATGGATAACAGAAACAGAGTGGATATGCTCGGTACGATCTATAATGCTCAAACAAGGCAAAAAAAGAAGAAGAAGGTGCTTTGGAGAGGCTAATTTTGCCAAAACAAAACACACCAGCAGATTTATGAGGCCGAAAACTGGTGGGATATGGTTCGAACAAGCCAAAAACACGACCAGAAAGGTGAAAAATTGGCTGGTCAAAGTTGTTTGACCAAGCAGGGGAACCAAAACTAGGGCTGACATCACAACAAAGGGGGTTGACGTCAGAAACGCGCAGCGCATGTTAGCAGAGGTCCACACGGCGCATGATAGCAAGAAGTTAGCAACGACGAACGGTTAACCAGGGCTGACATCAACGATG